TTTTGAAGTCTTCCTGATCAACTCTGAAAAATGGAAGATTAAAGTGGTCCTAGGTTCAAATGACTTCAAATCAAGATCACAAAAGATTGTACTAGCATCACCAATTGAGTTAAAGTCGAAATAAGTTAGAGCCGATTCATGGTGGGACGTAATGTGAAACTGTATGAGCTCAGCAGGGGTTCTTCTTCATTCAGCCACTAATCGAGCTTATTTTCTCACACCTCTTCACACCTTTATCACTAGGCTGGCAAATGCTGGCATCATTGGTATAAACACTTTGTAGTACCAGTTGCAGCCAATGATAGTATGCATTGATAAAAGAGACTCTGTATCTTCAGAAACCAAGTGTTGAAGTTAGATAATTATCAAAATTGAAGCTGATTTGGAAATCAATATTAAATTCAGAATTTTAAATAAGCTTCGCTATTATGATGAACCATTTTAAGGCAAATAATAACCCAAATTGGAAGCACAACTTGGTAATCCTAAGTGACTGACGTCATTTACCTATCTGGACCCTTCGGCAGGAATTGTGGCCTGCTATCGCATAGAAATTGTAGTTAGCACCGCGAAATGGTTGCCATGAAAGGGAATAAAGATAGATTTCCTTTATTTTAGCATTGAGAAAAGGACGATTTGTACAATTTCAGCCGGTAGAGATCAAATCGCCCACGAAGATCCAAATTGTTAATATAAAGTGCGGTTTCTTCCTCCAACAATGTGTTAATGGGAAGTCGAGTAACACTTCGGATACTTTTCCACTATTACAGAAAGTAAAAAAAGGGACCATTTTTGCAATTTCAGCCTACATCGCCTACGTAGATGGAGATTTTTAAAGTACTTCTCAAACTTGCTACACAAAAGAGTAAATATTGACTAGTTTCACGAAGGGACGAATGCACACTAGTGCCTCGTCTCGATAGTTCTCCTTAAGCAACATATGGCAACTGAATCTCTTGTTCAAGATGTACTGAATGCCTCAAATCGCACTTGATTCGAATACAAGTAACGATGTCGACTGTAATGGCAAATACATGTTTGCTTTAACAACAGTCGAATTTAAAAAAAGTATATATGAAAGGCATAGACTATGATGTTATGGCCGACAGGCACTCGTGGTAGGGTGGTGTCGAAATTATACGCGAAACTACCACAACTCTGGTTCGATTTCAGCTGTGGGACTGATGAAACTCAGGTGAGATCGAAACCACAGCCAAGTCTTTTAGGAAGAGAAATTTAATGAAAACTTGGGGTATTCTCATATGCTTGTAGGAAAATTCAACAATCAGTCCCTTGTCACATTTTGCAAACTATGGTGACCGGAACTGATATTCAAGATTTAAGGATGATCACGTACTTTATAAGTCTGCGCTGGTCTTCAATTGCATACAGTATTGAGCTACTTTATGCTAGTAAAAGACAAATTTAACCATCCAATCAGTCCGAATTCGCTAAGAGGTAACAAATTCCGACTAATACCTCGGTCTGTTTGCTATTTCTGGCAGATGGTTCCGAGGCAAGTGGTTAAGTGGAGTAGAAAGTCTACATTTTTGCAGTATTAGCACAACTGGTAGCAACTAAAATGCATAGTAATGTGGATAGAAGAGATATACAGTTTGTAAGCTTGTGCTTTTTTGTTAGTATGTAGTTGTCCATGCAACATGCCGGGGGATAGAGGCAAGAAAACATGCGGTAGGGGCTGATTTAAGATGGACGGATTTTGCAGCAAGTCATTATAAGGAAAACGCTGACACGAAGTGATTATCTGAGAGAAAAATTTATCTGTCTCTATCTCAGATGACATCGCGTCCCGGGCTTCATCGGCACGTAGAGATAGGAAAGAAAGCCTGAGCGGTGTCAATGCAATAAGCGGATCCGCACAAGGAACCGCATCTTGGAGACAACCAGAAAAAGTCAAATGCTAGCTAAAAGAGTCGACTGTAGAAGAGGCTGTCAGCTCTTACTGCTCACTGGTTGTCAGGACGGCCGCTTTGTGTCAATGCTGAAGACGGTGAAGTGAGTCTAAATAATCACTAGGACGTTGAGATGTACAGGCTTGGGTTCTCTTTGCTGAGGGCAGGCTCGCAGCACAAAAATTATTTTGCCTGAACAGCATGCTTTACTTAAACAAGCCTCGCTGTATTGGCTGAACAGAGGCTGAAGCTATGAAGAAGGCGAAAAGACGGTTTATATTCGTAAGTAGGCAAAAACAGGATAAAAATGGCCCTGAAGATGGCACATCTGCACACGCATACTTAATAGCCTACTCACACGAATAAAAAATGCACACATATAAAATCATACAATCAGACACACGTGCATCAATAGCTAATGTAAATACACACAACAAGATTGCACACCTGTGTGCAAACACAGCTGTAGACACACACACGCACACACACACACACATGTCCACATGAATGTACAAAGTATGTTTGGATGGTCTAATGAAGGGCATAAGTGCAAATATGAGCATATTTTTGGCCAAATCAACCCAGTTAGAGCGCGTCAGACGCCCCGAGTGAAAAGGCCAGTTCTGAGTACCAGTCAAGACCGATGCTGGGCTCTTTCTGGTATGTCTTGGGGGCCTCAAAAATAAGTAGACAGGGGCATTTGTCAGCACTCACTTTCGTCATGATAAGAATCCACTTTTACTAGCCCAGCAGATGATTGGGAGGCAGCCCTAGGACACAAGAGGTTAGGACCCATTTTTTGGTAGGAGTTAAAAATTACACCCCTTCCGAAGGCTATGATTTTTCCAGCAACGATGCTTTTCTGAATGATGTACAATTGATGAGCTCACTTTCGTTTAGAGTAAAAGTATGGTTAAACAACAGCTAGTCAATGGGAATCTGCTGTCGTCTTCTGATAGAACATATCTATCAATATTTCCATCACACTTTAACTCAGAACGGAAGTGTGTCCAACAATATTAAGTCGAGAAATGCCTCGGAAAATAAATTTTTCGAGGCATTTATATGGCTAATCGCGGCCCAAAGTAGACCTTGAGACTACTTGGCGATAAAAACTGACTTCAGGTGGTATAAAACACAGCCTATTTAGGAGAATAGGCGGCAAGTAGAGCCGCATAGTAGGTACCTTGTGGCACCTTATATGCTGATAGAGTTCATGAAATTCTGTAAAAGTCAAGCATTTCTACAGCTAGTGGAATTTTCAATCTACTTTTATGCTCTTGATGGCCTAGATCAGTTGCTGCATTTCGTAGAAATGGAGGGAATGCATCTCATATATGGCCTCATATAGTCTCAAAACTATGTTTATAGAATTGAAAAATAAATAATGAAGTCGACTCCTCTAGCAAATGCAACTTAACACCAGAGAATGGGATATGGGAAAATGCCTTGCTTTCCTTGACATTCACATCTACACTGTGAGGCAAGGGTACTCATGGCAATGTGTCGTAGTGGTTAACGCGTCAAGATTATACGCTACAATTTCATGACTCGATTTCCACTAGGGACGAGGTCAAAACTGCAGTACCCTTGGATAAAAATATTTTTAGAAAAGCAAAACAATGTGAAATCTAATGGAAACGTGAAGCCTACTCATATGATTGTGAGGAAATTCAACTTTCAGTCGCCTAATCGCTTGAAACGAAGTATAGCGAATACATTTCACATACACAATGATTAATTGTGATATGAATTTTAACCTCGAAAGGATGGAATACATGAATTGGTCTCCTCTAAAAGCGAAGGAGGATTGTATTTCGGTGAAGAGTGTTGTATTTGGTGTAGTTTGATTATATCTGTCACGCAAGATTTGAAGGCTTAATATGGTTTCAACGAGATCGCAAGACCATCAGCGGAGGATCTCTTCACACACTCTAACAGTCTTTGCTTCACTGTACTCACTTCTCCTTTGGTTTTCGGTGAGACCAATTAACGAATTCCTTCTCTGAAATGAGAGGTCATTTTACAATAAATCCTTAAGGAATCCTTGGAACTCCAGTTTTTCTTCGTACCTACACAATTATTAAGATAAAGTTTAGCCAAAATAAACACACCGAATACGCGAAGAGTGATCTGGGCTCTGGTTCCTCCAAATCCATTGACCCCGTTGCACTCGTAGACTCCCGAGTCGGTTGCTGCGTCAGCTGTCAACCGATGTACTCGCTCTACCGTCTGCAATGGCAGGCGTCGGGGATGCAGACTGGCAACAGCCAGCGGTAGCGAAGAGCGATGCCCCGTTTGCCCAGAAGAAGGACGCAACGGGAAACCAAGTGCCTGCTGCCCTGTGACGCCAATCCCTGGGGCGGATGGGTAAATGCTGGGGGGTGGCATACCCGACTGGATCCCCGACTGGCTGAGGCCGGCTGCTGTCAAGGCCGTGGCAGAATGTGGTATGTCGGCTGGGGCACCGACAGTTGAGAAGGAGACCGAGTTGGTGAGGCCGGGTGCGGCGTTGGTTAGGTCGGTGGAGGAATGAGCAGAGCTGCTCGACCTTCGAGAGCGTCTGAGATCCAAGAACTGGTTGCCCAGATCACCATGCTCTAGAAATAGCAGAAACAATTCCGGAAGACTTTTTTTGTACCTAAGGCTGTGGTGATGAAGTAAATGATCATGAGTCTACAGACGATTTCCTTATCCGAAGAGTGCAAAGTCATACCCTTAAACCAGTGAGATGCAAAAGTAAAATATTATTTGGTTTAGATAACTAACCTAGTTTAATTGTAAAATATAGTTAACATGCAAATAATTTATTCACTGGCAACCAGGCTTCACTATGTTCATTTTTAGCAGTAATGAAATATAATCAAATAAAATCAATGAAGTGACTCACATGAAAGGCACTTCTGAAGGTGTTAATCAGTGAAGAAAGTAGAATGAAATACGAGTTACTCCCTTAGTCTTAAAAGCACCGTTTCACACTCTTTCCAAAATATTTGGAGAATCCTAAAGCCACTAAAAGGAGCCACAATGATAGCTACTCTGTGAATGTCACACATTTCTGCATAATACGAAGTTAACGGGATAATTTGCATATGCGTCTAAGGTACATTTTGGAATCCGTTTTGATCTGCTTGAGGAGTATAACCGGTTAGGTCATGTCTTAGAATTTGAGCAAATGGTCTGTACTCGTTGAGCACACTCTAAGTGTGGGATTAGGCTCGAATTTAGATTCCAACACAAAGCGACAGTGAATTCCCTTC